GGGGGGGGCTGCCGGCATCGGACCTGCCGCCACCGTGGCAACAGGAGAGAGGTAGGCCGACTGTGCCACCAGGGCCTGCTGCTGCATCAACTGGAGGATGGAGGGAGAGTTTGTGATTGAGAGGAAATGGGATAAAGGAAGTCAGGACATTCAGTGTTCAGGGGATGGAGTGATGTTTAGTGGACTGTATGTAAGTGTGTGTTCATAGAGTCTAATCTCAGGTTTAAACAGCAGAGAAACACCAATTAAAAAATTTTATGAGTGACTTCTGTAGATTAAAATCACAGAAGAAATATTAGCTATCTCAGAAAATGGGATCCGGTCATAAAAACTGAGCTTGTTTAACAGAGCTGCGATGGCTCCGGTCAATCAGGAGTCAACACATTTGAAGGCCACATCTCTGGCCGCTGCGCCACAGACCAGCTCTCCCTGATGACCTGCTCTGTTTCTGCACAGCAGTGCAGATGCTTCATGGCTGCCATAATCAGTCATTAGGGCCAAATCAAGGTAATAACCTCCCTTAAATTATGTCACATGTTCCTGCTCTGAGTTGTGAGGGTGAAAATAACTGACTCCACTGTATTCCACCACTTTTGCGCATCTACATTTCTCCTGCTGAGCAATTTCACTTTTAGTTTATGATTTTAATAACAGATAATATCTGGTGAACAATGCAGAGTAAAAACATAGTCAAGGCTCCTTAAGCATCACAAACTGAACAACTGTAAATGAGCCAAATCTGAAACCATTTGCACAAAATGGTCAATTAGCAAAAACAAGAGCAGTAATGTGACTTCACTCAACACTGAAAATCCTATTTTTTCACAGTAAAAACAACCATCTAGTGTGATATTAAAACTCTTCTACTAAAATCCCATGGAATGTATCAAGTTTAGTATTCCAAAAAAGTAATTATGTTTTCCAGGAGTGTGCATCGAGTCAAATATGTTTTTCTTTTTATCGGATCAGCTTTAACTTCTGCTAACTACTGCTTAACATCAGTTAATTCAGGGCTTCCAAACCTTTTTTTCCACCACAGACTATTTTTGGATTTTAGTTTTGTTGTGGACCAGTGGGCACACACAAGGATAAAATTAGACAGTTAGTTTTCTGGGGTTATACACATGTTCATAAATCATGTATAGGAATGAACCAAACATGAGACCAGACAATTTGTTTGCTGTGTATTTCATTATGAATATTTACTAAATTGAAAAAACAGTTCTAGATCTAGACCTCTTAGCAGCACTCATATATAGTTCTTGTAAAAGGAGTGCTTCTACAGAAATGTGTGCTGTATGTGTCTGTGCTCCTCACAGCCTGTGTGTAGGCATTGTAGGCCCCAAGGTGCAGGGTCATGGGACTGATGACTCCCAGTTGAGAGGCCACCTGCTGCATCCGCCTGAGCCCTCGCTCCTTCTCTGAATCAGCAAACTTTACCACCAGGCTGGACGAGGCACCCTTAGGAGGAAAGGTACGAAATCAAAACAGGTCATAATCTAAATGTTATTCCTTAAATTTAGCTGATCTGCTTCATCCACAGGACAAATCATCTACAGCAGAAAAAACAGGTAAGCACCTTTAACTAAAAGTTTGTCCAATATTGTGTGTGTGTGTGTGTGTAAAAGGGGGAGCAAAAACGAGAAGTGGTGACTATCATCTGAGTCACAACATTGAGTGTCTAAATGACTGGATTTGGGGCATCTGAGTGTGTCTATTTGAGTTGATGAGTACTCGTGTATTTATGTGTATCTAGCTGCAGCTGTGTAGTTTCTATGTGTGTGTGTGTGTGTGTGTGTGTGTGTGGGGGGACTTACAGGTAAAGTACGACTCCCATGCAGAGCATTGATGGCGGCCTGGGCCTCTGCGTTGCTCTGGAACTTTACAAATGCGCACCCTACATGAAATGAAAACACCATTACACGCGGCCTCTTACAAACACCTGCAAGCTCACAGTATAAAGAAACACCTTCCCTTTAAAAATACATTATGAGTTGTCTTACATGTAGTGCTTCATCAGTTACTGAGGCATTGTTAAACATGGTCCACAAAACATGCATTGCTTCATCAATCACAGCCCGTAAACCACGAGACGCATCATTAGCCATGACCCATAAAACCTATTGCACCATTAGTCATGGCTCATGCAACAAACACAAAGAAATCTAGCAAGTGTGTCTGAACTGTCACCGGACTTTGATTTACATGGCAAATATATCGTTAGCATTGTTGTTAGTGACAACAGCAATTTACATTCACATGATGGTAACGTGCTGGAGGCCTAATTCTCAGGCCTTGATAAAAATACAAAGAGTTAAACATAGTCAGTGCAATTTTTACAGTCTTGATATGGAATCCAGTCAGGTCAAACTGCAATACTTTAAAGGCTGAAGGATACCTGAAGGATACTACTTTTTATTTCATCCATTTTATGGGACATTTGAACTCACAAAACTGCTAAACCATGCTTCAGTATTAAGGAGTAAGTTGTGTGTATACAGTAAATGGCTAAATGCAGGTGCCAGAATATTTAATTGGAGTGTACTGCATCATGAGTATAATACCAGACATAGTCAAAATTCATAGATATTTGATATAAAACCTTCCAAAGTGTGTGGCTAAAAAGTTGTAACATTACCAGATGATGAGAAATTCATGTTTTTCTTCAAAGAAATGGAAAGAAGATGGATGAATGTACTTAGTACTTTACTAAAACATATATAATTTGAGTCTCTTTATAAACAGTGTATAAAAACGTATCACTATAAAAATGATACTGCATCTACTATTTTTGTAAGTTGATAATGTAGCAACAGTGTGTTGTTATTATGATTTTTGGCAGGTTATTGTAACTTTTAGCGTTTTTATCCTGCACCATGTTTTACTTTTTTGTGCTTCCTGCACTTTGTGTTCTATCCTGCTAAAAGAGTAGTTTGTTATATTTTGTATCTTCTACTAATGGCATTACCTTTGCTGGTACCATCAGGCCCACGGAGCACCGTGCACTCCTCTATGCTGCCAAATGGCTCGAACATCTTTCTCACATCGGCGTCTGTCTGCTGTTTCCCCAGCATACCCACAAACAACTTCCTGTCTTCTAAGGAGAAGGAGATCATCAAGATGGGAGAGGAGGAAACAGGAAAATGTGCAGACAATGTGAGTGAGATTAAAGGGTGAAAAAAGCAGGAGTGAGAGAGAGGTGAAAAGAGGGGGAGAAGAGAGAAGTGCCATGTCACTGTACATGAATGAATAATAGAGATCATTGGTGTGATAAACAGTTACAAAGCTGACAGGACTTCAGCCTGCTATACTTGAGAGCGCCACCAGAGTGCGCTAAAATGAGCATCACAACAAACAGCATCTGGTGGTGACTCAAATGTTTGTCACCCTCTGTGTTGTCAGAGAAGCTGCTCCGTCTGTCTCCGTCTGTGAAGGATCAGATCAGTGTCTCTGCATGCTTTAGCCCCTTCACTGCAAATCACATACATGTTACATTCCTGCAGACTGTTTTACAAAACACACCATAGATTTATCGACTGGAGCCTGCATTTCTCTGGCCAACTGGGGTGCCACTTCTTTCCCATTCATTTTAGTGTGGGATGAAGATCAACTGTCAGAGGCTAAAAGCCTCAGTTACAGTGAACATGTAAATGTCTTTATCATTTTGTTACCTTTATGTTGCATGAGGTTGTGGTTGATTGTGTCATTGTATTCTAAACATCTGCCTGTATTATGTGTTCATGTGGTGGATGTGACTGCATAAACACAGTGAGACCACAAGCTATGTTTACTTTAATAAAAATCTAAAATAAAACGTGTACTCGAAATATTGAAAAATGAGAAAATGAACCGATCAGGCAAATGATAAGGTGTTAGTCCTTTTAGTGATGATAGCCCTGCACTATTCAAGTGCCCCAGTAAGACAAGTCAGGGTGACAATGAGCTTGCATGCAAAATACCAGCCCCCTGAAACTGAGGCAGGTTATCATTAATTTTACTATTTAAAACCTTTGCTTTTCCAAATATCAAAATGTCTTCTGTGAAAAAGGCCAGTTATAAACCACAGACACAGTGAAAATATGAGCATTCGATCAGTTGTTGGATGGTAACTCTACTGACCCAGATATCAGTTTTCACCAACACAATAACAGTCTGAGTGATGCACCAACAGCTGCCATAAAACTATGGTATTCATTACAACATGGACAACAATAATGTAGAGTATGTATGAATTGTGGTAAATTGGTGAAAACACGTTGCTTACATCCTTGGAAACAACTCAAGTGAATAACAGTATGGTCACACGTTTTGAAAAGTCAGGGAAACATATGATTATGTGACTGGTCAGGTGTTAAGGCAGACGCATCTTCAGCGACACTTGTAAAAGCTGCCTTCCAAATCCAGCAGTGTAGCACATCTGTAGTAGTTTAAGCAGCAGCTCTTTGCACAGCGTGCGTTGTGCAGGTGCAGTGTGACAACAACTACACTGCCATTTTAACAGGCAGTCACAGCTTTGCTGAAACAATAATCAGCTGCGAGGGTGATAAAATGTTGCACGTTTTCTATGCAGTGTTGATATAGTTGATTTTTTCTAGAAATTTCCTTTAATCATCAACTGTCATATTGTCTTGATTTTGGTGACTTTATTCATTTTGAGACATTATTGTCCCATTCTTAAGGGCTGCTAGTTAAGACTGACATTTTGAATCATGTAGACTGTGAAGGTGCTGTTGTTTGAACAGGTGCTGTGAGTCTGGGCGGGGACAGGGTCTCTTACCTCCTCTGCTCTCGCTGTCTGCCGGCTTCACTTGGATTGGGCGGTTCATCTGGAAAGAGAACCCACACAGCATAGTCAGTTTAAATATAGGACAGGGGTAGTGATAATGAACCCAAGAAAACCAGGGAACTTTTAAGAGTGAATGGAATTTATATGCCAACAATTTTGAAACTGGCAGCAATTGAAATTTCACACAGATGTGTAATTGTGGCTACTATTATTATAAATTACTATAAATCACAAAAGATGGAAACCATACAGTATGTAGAGACTTTATATTATATACTTTTATAAAATGACATGATAGGTTAATTTAGCCTGTGCTCTTGGCTCCTACGTTCCCCCCACTAATGTCTCTCCTTTCTATCTGTTGCCAGCTCTACTCCAGCAGAACACAGCTGACACTGAAGTGTGATATTATATTCACAGTGTACAGTCTCTCTCTCTCTAAGTCGCTCTCAGAATCTCCTCTAATCCCGCTCTCTATCGTTCCTTCTCCCCCTATCACACAAAACCAAAAAAAGCACACACCCACGCGGGATTGGGGAAGTGATAAGATTAAGAACACTCGCTGGCTAATCTGGATTACAGGAGCACGCAGCATCAGAACAGTCAGAGATTCTGAGCCTGATGAAGAAGCACAGACAGACGGGCTATACAGGGTTAGAAGTGAAAGAACAATATCTAAAAAAATAAAATAAAATAATGAATGACAAAAAAGTAAAGGACAGATGACACAGAGGAGGATTAAATATCCTTTCATAATTCATCAAAAGACAAGCTGTGAAATGCCTTTTTTTCTTTGCTTCTCCACAGCTGTCCTCCCCACTATGTCTCAAAGCCCCTGTATAGAATTGTGCGCACATCAGTGCTTCAGCACCTTGTCTTTCAGATGTATAGAGCATGAAAATGGTGAAGAGAGGCGCTGAATGAAATAAAAAAAAAAGAACAAGCAAGAGAGGGCAAGAGGGAGAAAGCTGGGACTGGGGGGGATTCAGGGAAAGGAAAGGAACATATGGAGGAAAGGATGAAGGAGGTGTGTGTGTGTATGAAAGAGAGAGACAGGGAGGAGGGTGATGTCAGTGAGGAGTCGAGGTGAGAGCAACAGAGTGACACTCTGTTAACTGTGGCTTAATGAAGGTCTTAATTATGGAACCGGTGACATTTCAGCCAGTCACTGGTCCCGTGTCACTGATTGATCCACTGTGATCAGTCACCAGGAGACACTATTGATCGGCACTATGGTTGTGCTCTGCTGCCAGGACCTGCATACACAAATACTGTCAAGTCCATGGCACTATGGTACCGAACCACCAGCTGAAATACCATCAACACCTGCTGCAGAGGACCCCTGTGTCTCCTCACTGAGAGCAGCCAACTGATTGCACCAAATAACAGTAGATGGAGGGACAAACCCACTTCCAGTCACTCAAGTAAATGGAGGTCTGCTCCAGCAGTCAGTGAATAGTAAGTTTTGTTTAAATTACAGCTAAGTTTACCACCGTACCATTTCTTATGCAATTTTTACACCTACCAAGTGCTAAAACTACAGTGTAGCAACCTCTGGAAAATAAAACATTATTTACTACAGTCCAATATTATATGTTGCATTTACTATGGATCTTAGATTGTCAGTACACTCTTCTGCTGCCAAGACTGAGGTTAATTCAGTTTAAATATGAAACTCTGCTTCACTTTATTCTTGTTTTTGATCTTTAACTTTCATCTAATTGTGTATTTTTCAAGATGCAGACAAAATTTTCCAAATGCTAAGTCAAACACTGACTCCATTTTTCTTTGTTAATGTGTTTTAGGTTTTAATAGAAAAATATTTTAACTGGTAGAAACCAAGGATGTATCATTATTTTTACTTTACTTTTCTTTAAATACCAAAACAACATGGTCACATATGGTCATATACATCAGGGGATGGCGTCCAGTATAGGCCTAACTCATGAGCTCATGTATTCACATATCTACAGTATGTGGGTTTTTTCCTAATCAGTATGTGAAAGTAACATTTAAAAAAATGTACTGTCTGCTCGTAGAATCAAAGCTCATGCCACAACCTCATAGTTTAATGTGATATCTTTGATTGATGACATGTTTGAATGATGCCTGTAAAAGATCCCATAGCCATGTTCCAGTGCAGGAAGACAAACAGTGAAGGCCGTGGTGGTGGTGATAGGGAGAAGCACAGCAGATGGCTCAGGAGATTGGAATTAGAATATACAAAAGGGAAAACAGCAAGAAGTGGAGGCCATCAAGGCTGTGCCCCTCCAGATCCGCACGGCAACTGGCCCCGCAGCTCTGACGAAGGCCGCGCTTGCATGGCCGTCGCCATGACAACCCCGGTGATGTGAACCCCACATTAGGTAAACAAGGCTGCCCTGAAAGGTACGTGGAAGAGACAGGTGAAAACAAATGAGGAGGACAAAGGTTGCTTTGAGGTCGAGAGATAGCAAGGATTAGTTGTGTGTGTGTGTCTGTGGGGGGGGGGGCAAGGAGAGGAAGGAAAAAATGAAAGACGCCAAACAACAAAAGGATGAAGGAGTAAGCGTTCGTGCCTGTTGAATGTTGGTGCTGCCTCGAGAGCAGATGCAGAAGCAGGGAGAAAAATATCTCCCTCTAAGCCCAAACCACTAACACACACTTTACAGTAATTTGCTCTCTCCTCTCCTCCTCCTCTTACTCCCCTCCCCTCCTCTTTCTCTTTTAGGCTTGTTTACAAAAACAGTCCCATACTGTGCACAGACAACACACAGACAAAACCTGCCTGCTCAACAGCCCATTTTACTAGTGTGTTTTTGCTATATTTTTTTCTCCCCTTGAGCTCTATCTCCAAACACACGCCGCAGATATTATATACAACTCTCTTCCGACTAAACACACATACATTATTCCTAACAATACACAAGCTCTCTCTGCTCCTCTCGGTCACAGCAACATGAGCACACATCTACACATACTTAATCTTTTCGCTCTGTGATGCTGCAGGGGATTTTGCTAGGATTATGAGATATTAAATCCATAGATTATCCAATCAAATCACAGCTCAACCCCTTCACCATAATGCATGACCTCGCATGCCATCAATGTCCATACATGCTGAGGAGCAGCACTTGATCCAGTGTAAATGCATTTTCATCTACAGCAAATGTTTTAGATGGGGGGGTCATTTATACTCCGAGTGAGTAAAGCATATTGATGATTATATTTTTCTGTTATGACCCACGAAGCAGATGATCTCTACACTCTCAGCTCAGTGCAATCAGTTGCTATATTATATTATGTATACGGTCTATATAGCAAGCAGCTGCTGTGTGAGGGTGGCACATTTCTGTCACTTGTTTTCTGTCCAATTTCAATCCATTTTGCTTGTCTGCCCTGAAAAGCAGCCGTTCCGAATGGTAAATATATCAGCAGAAATCATCTCTCCTGCTCTTTCAAGTCGCCTAGCAACCTGGCATCCCTTGTCCCTGCCGTCTCCAGGCAACGAGACCTGCGACCGTAATCAACCTGCCACCTCCCTCCTCCTCCCTCTCCTCCCTGTTCTGTTCTTCTCCCATCTCTGCTGCTTTTGCTCCCTCGCTTCTCCATCCACCTCCTCGTCACAAATGCACTTACGCTGGGATGCATTAGTGAATTCACACGGGAGAAAAGAACAAGCACAGGTGGAAATTGGTATATTCACAGGCCAAAATAGAAAATGACAGAAAAAAGGGAGATTAAAAGACACAGATGATTGTGAGCTCACACAAAGAGTTGGAACAAAGCAGGGACAAAAAAAGAGCAGAGATGCAGAGAAGTGCAGTCTGTTAATGATTCTACATGTGGATGCACACACAGATGCTCACACAAACACACATGGGTGGGCAGGCACACAAAGTGGAAAGAAACTCTTCTCCTGAATTCAGCCAGCCACTAAATCAGTCAGACTCAAAAAGACTGATGGCACAACCCTTGTAAAGTTTAATAATATTTAATCAATGATCGGTCTTCAGTGTCAAAGCTGCTTCCCAGGGTTGTCCTCTACTCCTACAGGGTTCACCAGTCTGTCCAGTGTCAAGACAAAGCTGGCACTCCTTGAAGCTGACATTCAGCCTTTATGTCAGAGAGCCAACAAAAATCCTTCAAAGCAGAGAAACTGAATAACAAAGAGTAAATTTCTAACAACACTCGGGTTGACTCTCAATAGTTTTGTCTCTTCTGCCTGTTAAATATTCATGTCAAGTGTTGTTTGACTCAACTCAGTGGAGCAGAGGAGGAAAGAACTGACTCATGCACGGATTTTAGTGTGTGTGTGTGTGTGTGTGTGTGTGTGTTACAAATATGGTTCATGTCCTACTTTTTCTTTTATTTATTTTTTTCCCCACTTTTTAATTTGGGCATATTTTACATGCTTTAACTTCATTGTAGTGCAGTGTATATGGACGCTCGTTAGATAACCAATCCTATATCAGAGTTCAAAGAGCTTAAACAAGATTTGCGACAACAGCACACTTGTGTTCACCTTTCACACACGCGCACACGCACACATTTCCCAACCCCCAAAACACAATATTTCTCAGTAACAGATGTCTGCATTTAAGCTGATAAACACACTGCCTTGATGAACCTTCAGCCCCCTCCACCCTTACTGCTACCTACTGTTCATTATGTCAAACTGTAATTTATTTCTTCCTCCTCTCCCCTGACCCTCCCTTAATGCCCCCCCCCGAAATCGCTTATCCAATTTCTCAGTAATTCACACACATTACCACCTCTGTAAATCCAATCTGCATTTATCATTACAGTTGCCCCAGAGTGACGTACAGAGGAAGGGCTTTTTTTTTGTTGTTGTTGTCAGCCTGTCCTGCATCATCCCTGTCAAGCACTGTTATGTATATGTAAATGAACCAACGCATGAATGCACACTTAATTCCAGATAGATTCATCAAGTGAACATATTTGGTCTGCCTATCACCATCAATTCATAGGCTAGATTTGGAGGGACCGCTTTATCTGGTTATTGTCAGATACATAAAATAACATGTTAGCTAGTGACATGGTCACAGAACAGATAATAGCAGCATGTTTTTAGGGCTCCAGTGAACCAAATGAGCATCTATTTGTGTTTCTGTCATATTGTTCTGGCTTGGTACACATTAGCTGTCAGGTTTTACTATAAAATACTAAAATGCTAAGATTGAGTAAGCGCTAACAGGTACATAAGAGGCTGTTATAATCACCCTACAACTGCTCATTGCTCATGTGTATCTAAATGCAGAACGTCTGCTCAGACTTTAAGAGCAGAAATTACAACATTCTGGCAGTATACATCCTATCTCATATCCTGTGTAAAACGCCTGGCCTATATTTAGCATATGTATTTATTTCTGACTATTGATAAAATCCCTCTGTCTGCTCTGACTGAGTCCTTATGGCTGGGTAAATGTCAGGCTTAGTCAGATGTTCCACTCAAAGAAGGCTCTTTCCTCTCGTATGGGCAGCTTAAACACAGAAGGCCTTGCATCACACACACACACACACACACTGCAGATAGTGAATGAAAAAAACCTGAGAAGAGCTCATAATAAATCCAAGAACTTCAATCCATCCATACATATATTTGGATGTGTACTCTCCAAGGAAACATACGCACACAAAAGCAAACAGACAGTTACACGTACACACACATAAGCACACACCCTTTATTAAGTTGTGTTAGTGTGAACACCTGCCCTCCCTTCCCCCCCTGTACATGCAAATACACACCAAACACACACACACACACAGCTACTTTCTCAGTTGGGCACAGTTGCACTATTAAACAGTTATTGCATTTAAAATTAACGGTGAGGCATTGTTGTAAATATTAATTTTTAGTCAGTGAGTGATGATGCTGGGTAATGTGTCGTGTCTTTGCTGAAGCAGATAGAAGCTTCAGGGCTAGAACTAATAATTCTTTGCCATATTGATTAAAATAAAAGTTTGACACTTTGGGGAATATGCTAATTTGTTTTCGTTCCAAATGTGAGATGAGAAGATTGATACCATCCTAAGGTCCTTTCCCTAAATATTGAAATACAGTCAGAAGCCAATTAGCTTAAACGAGTGAGATGTAACATGTTAGTTAGTGAGCCTTAGAGGTGCTGGTACAGTAAGTCGGGTCTTTGGACTGCTTCTCCCTGTTTCCAGACTTTTTGCTAAGCTAACTGGCAGCTTCATATTTAGCAAACAGATTAGATATGAGAGTGGTATCACTGTTTTCATCGACTGTCAGCAAGAAAACATATAAGTGCACTTCTAGTATGCTGAACCTTTCCTTTAATCTACTGTATTATTTAATCAGTTTAATGTTTGGTCTCTAAAATCTCAGAAAATAGCTGCAGCTCTAATGACTTTCAGTGGCAAACAGGGGCATGACTCAGTCATTCAGCTCATTCAACAGATATTTGTTTAAAGTTGTTCAAACAGTTCAGTTTTGAATGTCGATGTGTAAAATGGCTTCTGCTAATGTGGTATAACTGGATGTTATTTTCTCCTTGAGCCTCACAGCAGCTGACTAGGCCAAACAGGCCGGAGACAGTGGAGAGATAAAGTGATAAGAACAGAGGGGACAAGAGTACAAGATGTCCAGGGTGGACAGAATGAGAGAGTACAGCACAGGAGTGAACATTTCCACACGTCTTCTCAGAGTGAATCTGTCTTACAGTGCCTGCCCTTTTCCCCCTCCCCTTCCCAGCTCCACCATTGTCTCACTATCTCACCTTGCTTTTAGCTGAATGTGCTTTTGACACTGTTCCTCCCTCTCAAACTTAGAGATGGACTCTCTCACCTGAAATTAAACACAAGGCCAGGTGCCACCCTGATACAGCCATCTGTTCACCCCTGCCTGACTTCTTTCTTTGTTTCCATTGTTAGCAGATAGAAAAAAAAATCAGTAACATAACAGTAAGACTGACTTTTATTTTCCAAAGAGAAGAAATGTAATTCCGAGTGTTAATGACATCCTTCAGCTTTCTCTGCATTCAGGTGTGCTTTCATTTGAGCTCTCTCATCTCAGTCCTGTAATTGCTTTCATGTTTTTTCTTTTGAATTTCACTGGCCATGAGATGCCAAAGTCAATTATTCTTTAGCAGTGCAGGTGCAATTAGATGACAATTACACCACAGCTGGTAGCAGGGGTGGGAAACAGTTCTTGTCCATGTGGGTGTGTATGAAGCTACGGGTTTCATCTTTTTTTTTTCCTTTTAAAGAGGGAAGGGGGGAGGGCAGGGAAGGATTGAGAGAGCACATGAGGGTTTAGCTTGTTCCACACAGCTTAGAGGTAAGAGGTTTGCCATGTGGCATTGGGCTCTGCTGATCCCCTACGAGAGGTCAGGAAGGTCACGCTACTGTCATGCTAACAATGGGATTTCTTTTATTGCCACCGTAATACCAGCCTGCTCCTTCAAACTGTCTGCATTCCCCAGTAACTCGCTGCCTGCCATTACAATGCTGTTCCACTGCTGAAACAGTTCAGGCCTCAATCAATCAGTCAACAATTTTAATAACTGACTAATCATTTAGGTCATTTATCAAGGAAAGCAAAATGTTTTCTGGTTTAAGTTTCTCAAAATGTGATTTCCCAGAGCAAGGTGAAAGTCCATCACATGTCTTGTCTAAAACCCAAATATATTAAATTTGCTATCACATAAAATGAATAAAAGCAACAAATCCTCACCTATAAGAAGCCTAAGTCAAAGAATGTTTTGCTTTTTTGCTGGAAATGAACTATTAATTGATTATCAGAATAGGTAGTGGTTACTTTTTGAATAATACACTAATGTCTATATTTTTAAAGCAAAAATGCCGAAAAAATATAAAGTTAAAATTCATTAGCTTCAGTTCTCAAAATAGTTGCTGGTTTTCTTAGTCTTCTAGGATATTAAATTCAATATCTTTGAGGTCTGGACTGCTGGTTGGACAAAAACAAGCAATCTGACAATGTTCTCTTGCGTTCCAGGAATGTGATATGTGCATATTAATAGTTCCTTGTTGCCCTAATCTTTTCACCTGCTTCTTCTCTCTTTCCTCAAAATCTACCGGCATGAGCTGACATTTAGGAGAAGGAAAAAAAAGAAGTGAACGATGTAGATCTCAACTAAAATAACCAAAAGGAAACAGGGGTAAGGCCTTGTTAGTAAAAGAGGAAGCAGCAGCAAGTCTGGGAGCACACTTGGTCTCAGTAATTCTTTGCCTTGTCGCCTTGTCTCTCATATAGTCGGTTATTATAGAGACGTGGCTGTCATGTCAGATTTAGCTCTGGAAATGTCATTTGGCAGCACACCTGCTGCCTGGCTATGCTAATAACGCTAGGTTTAACTTTGATTAGAATTCAGAGAGAGAGATAGATAGAATGGGGGGTGGGGGGATACAAAGTGAATCATCAGAGAGAATATGAACTGGCAAAGTCACTCTAGCAGCGAGCCTCATAACTGCCTTATACGACCCGTGACATGCAGCAGGATGATTCATACCATAACTGGGTGGATATGTCTGTTATGCATCACATATGAAACATAAGAGGGAGAGCAGGCTCTGACCTTTATTGGAGCATATCTGCTAAAGGGGGAAGTTGGGTCCACATGTCAAACTCGGTTAATTTTCTGTGTCACTGTGTCCACGTGTGTCTGTGTGCTGATAGCCTAGCGTGCCTGTGATTTTGTTCTCTTCATATAGGCAGTTAAGAACTCGGAAAGACACTCACCCCTGGTAGCGTCTTCTGCTCATGCAGTGCATTCTGGGCTTTGAGGGCGGATTCTCGTGCACAATATGTCAGGAAAGCACATCCTGGAGAGGAAGACAGAAAGTTAGCAAAGTCTATGTATGTAGTTCATGTAGTCTGTGCATTTAATGTCACATTCATATGCTTGACAGTGCCATGTTATTGTAGCTTAATCTTAACTGTCCCTTTGCCCCAGAGGCCTTTAGGCATTATTGTGCTGTTGTAAATATCCATCCATCCATCCATCCATTTTCCTCCGCTTATCCAGGACGGGGTCACGGGGGCAGCAGTCTAAGCAAAGATGCCCAGACTTCCCTCTCTCCAGACACTTCCTCCAGCTCTTCCGGGGGAATGCCAAGGTGTTCCCAGGTCAGCCGAGAGACAGTCCCTCCAGCGTGTCCTGGGTCTTCCCCGGGGCCTCCTCCCAGTGGGACATGCCCGGAACACCTCCCTAGGATTGCCCAGGAGGCATCCGAAACAGATGCCTGAGCCACCTCAGCTGGCTCCTCTCGATGTGGAGGAGCAGCGGTTCTACTCTGAGCTCCTCCCGGGTGACCGAGCTCCTCACCCTATCTCTAAGGGTTCGCCTGGCCGCCCTGCGGAGGAAGCTCATTTCGGCCACCTGTTTCCGGGATCTTGCCCTTTCGGTCCTGGTTTGATAGAGCCAACAGGACAACGTCGTCTGCAAAAAGCAGAGACGAGATCCTGTGGTCCCCAAACCGGACTCCCTCCGGCCCCTGGCTGCACCTAGAAATTCTGTCCATAAAAATAATGACCAGAACCGGTGACAAAGGGCAGCCCTGCCGGAGTCCAACACGCACTGGAAACAAGTCTGACTTACTGCCAGCGATGC